CGTTTTGAAGACTTGCCTCTTTCTCAGACACCAAAGGAAGAGGCAAGTCCTCAAAACATGCTAGTTCAATCTACACTACTTGTGTCCACAATGGGAACCCTGGACTTTCAACATACTGATGCATTTTGAGGACTTGCCTCTTCCTCAGAGCCCTGAGGAAGAGGCAAGTCCTCGAAGCACGTCAGTTCAATCCAAACTACGTGTTTGTGCGCAATGGAAACCCTGGACTTCCAACATGCTGGCGCGTTTTGAAGACTTGCCTCTTTCTCAGACGCCAGAGGAAGAGGCAAGTCCTCAAAAACGCGTCAGTTCAATCCACACTACGTGTCTGCAATGGAAACCCTGGACTTCCAACATATGACACGTTTTGTGTTTTGAGGACTTGCCTCTTTTGCAGATCCATAGGAGGCAAATCCTCAAAATGCAATCCAAAGCTACATTGCAATGGGAACCCTGCCATTTTTTGTTGACAATCCAAAACGCTACATGTTTGACCGCAATGGGAACCCTGGACTTCCAACATACTGTTGCATTTTGAGGACTTGCCTCTTCCTCAGAGCCCAGAGGAGGGGCAAGTCCTCGAAACGCGCCAATTCAATCCAAACCAACATACGTGTTTCTTCCGTCCGCAATGGGAACCCTGGACTTCCAACATACTGACGTTTTTTGGGACTTGCCCTTTCGCAGAGCCCTGAGGAAGAGGCAAGTCCTCGAAACGTGCCAGTTATATCCACACTACGTGTGTCTGCAATGGAAACCCTGGACTTCCAACATACTGATGCATTTTGAGGACTTGCCTCTTCTTCAGAGCCCTGAGGAAGAGGCAAGTCCTCGAAATGCGTCAAATGTTGGAAGCCCAGGGTTCCCACTGCGGACAGACACATAGTGTGGATTGGACAGAGCTGTTCTTTCATGATGTGCCTTTGACAAAATTGTCGTTTGTGAGTACAATACCTATTTTTATTGCTTAAATAAATTTTTTTAGGTAATGCACTAGGCCGGTGTGCCCTCTGTTTGTTTTGTTTCTATCCAGTACATTTGGACTTCCCCAGTCCTCTGGGGGCAGCAAGGAGTGCGCATTCCAGGACATCCGAGATGTGGCCATAGCCTTTACGGAGTTCATTTCCAAGTGTAGGAGTACTTGGGTCTGCTGATTTATGATAGTTTTTATATCCGAGGAGGGGAGAATTCTATAACTGATGGGTCACATATTAGTTATAACATAATATATACTGTATATATTATAATAAAAAGCTGTAATTGGGCCTATATTCAGGCCGAAGTATTAATGGAAGATCAGCTTTGCATGATGAATTCACTTATTTCAGAACATAAGAAATCCCTTTATGGTGCTCAAATACTAGCATAGCTAGAGTAGGCAATGAATGCAAATAATAAACTTTTCCAGCACTTTATTTCAGCGGCAACATACAGTTTTGGCACCTCCAGAACTCAATATATGTTATGGCAGAGGTGGTGGGGTTGTGTTGGAGTGTTCCACAGTGTCAGTAACTACACTGGTCAGCGGGGGGGGGGGTTATTTAAAGCATATATATATACACACACACACACACATACATTGACTTCTCCGTCACATCCAACAACGCCACCATCAAACCCGCCCCGCAGGCCAGAGTACTTGGTGTCATTCTGGACTTCAACCTAACCTTCCAGCCCCAAGTCCAATCTTTAACAAACTCGTGCAGACTCCACCTCCGCAACATGCAGACTCCACCTCCGCAACATCGCCAAAATCCGCACGTTCCTAACCCCAGAAACCACTAAACAGCTCATCCACTCCCTCATCATATCACGACTGACTACTGCAACTCCCTCCTCACTGGCCTGCCTCGCCGCTGGCTATCCCCGCTTCAGTCCATCCTGAATACGGCAGCCAGACTCATTCACCTTTCCAACCGCTCCATCTCCGCCACCCCCCTCTGCCAATCCCTCCACTGGCTTCTGATTGCCCAACGGATCAAATTCAAAATCCTAACGCTGACGTACAAAGCCGTCCACCATACTGCCCCGAACTACATCACCGACCTAATATCCAAGTACCACCCAACACGCACACTCCGCTCCACACAAGACCTCCTTCTCTCTAGTTCCCTGGTCTCCTCCTCCCATGCCCGCCTCCAGGACTTCTCCAGGGTGTCACCCATCCTCTGGAACTCCCTGCCCCAACCCATCAGATTTACCTACTCTCCTCTCCTTTAGGCGCACCCTGAAAACCAATCTCTTCAGGGAAGCTTACCCCACCCCCTGCTAACATGCCGACCTCCTCCACTCTTCCTACCACTCCATCCCCCACAGCTATTTCCTCCTGTGCCACCATCCCCTCCCTCCTAGATTGTAAGCTCGAAAGAGCAGGGCCCTCGATCCCCTCATGTTTTGCATTGTATTGGTATTGTTCTGTCACATGTTCTGTCCCCCTTTGTAATGTACAGCGCTGAGCGAACCATTGGCACTTTATAAATACTGTATAATAATAATATATACACATATATATATATATATATAAATAAGTAAAATATTCAAATGCCCATTGCCTGGGCACAATTCTATTTTAAGTGCATGGTCATCTCACAAAAACAAATATGGAAACTTGACAAGCACACTCCTTGCATATAGTTCTATGTCAGCGTGTAATCTGCACAACTATTGGTAAAGTTACACCGCCTTTCGTAAAATAAGAATTAGGCATCAGTACAGGAGTGGTGTAATCCACCATATTAATATGAAAGCACAGAAATACAAATTGAAAAAAAAAAAAAAAAAAAAAAAGACAAATAATTGGCAAAAACAGCTTTAACATTTCAGCAACAGGTTGACAGATTGTGAAGAAAGGCCATCTGTTTATGAAAATAATTGCAATTGCATCCCTGGAAAGAAATAAGTACACTGTGAGGCAAGCTGAATATTCCTAATGAATTCTTCTACATCTGCATGAGAGTCGTTTTCACATTTAATATGACACACATGGCATGGCTCTTTCAGGCTAAGGGACAAAGTACTGAGACGGCACAATAGAAATGTTCTAAGAGGAGTCCAAGATAAGGAGGGTTGTGAAAGGCGAAGTGGAGGTGTACCAATGACCTTTTGTAATTGACCAAAGTAAAGTCCCAATGTTACGAAACTTTCCTTCCATCTTAAAGGAGAAGGTCACCCCTCACCCGCCTGACCCCCCCCCCCCCGTAGTGACAGCGAGCAGGGGATCTTCTCCCCGCACTTGCTGTCAGAATTTAAAAGAAACGCGGCCGTGTGGACGGAGCCATTCATTCACAGAGTTCTGTGAATGGGAGAACTACAAGTACTGACAGCCTTTGCATCTGTCGGCTTGTAGTCCTCAGTGAACTAGCAGGATGCTGTTCAGCGCTCTAGGTAGCTCAATGAGGCTTCCTGTCAGTGTGTAACTGCCTGCTCGTATGAGATATGAGAAGACAGCTACACTGACAGTCTGCAGGAGCCCTGCATTGCACCTGCAATCTGCTGGAAACAGCAACCCTCACATGACGACAAAGCTGAGTTAAATAAATGCCAGTCACACAAGATGTTGTACTGTAAAATCTCAGCCGCCATGTAGAGTTACCCATATTGGTGACTAAATCAAAATTTATGTCTAAAGTGTCTGGTTGGAGACTTGTAGTGCCACGCAAGGCTCCGTACAGATAAGAGTCACCCCGCTGGTAGAGAAAGAGGGGAGCAGCGTCCCAGGTTATTCCAGAAACTGATACAGTATATAAAGAAATGGACGCCGCTCAAAACCAATCCCCGGAGTCAAACGATGCATGTTGTAGATGGCCTCAGCCGCCCCTCCAGCCACGCACTCTGCTGTGGTTTGCCTTGTCCATCGGGGCTTGGTCACAGATGCCTGTCTCCAAGCCCCAATGGACGCGGCGAATCACGTCAAAGGGCTTGACTGGAGGCCGACCAAGTCATAAAGTTCACCCCATAACCCACTAACAGGCAAAATCTTCAGTTAACCCACTAACAGTGCGAAAATCGGCCGACGAATTAACCCACTAACAGTGCGAAAATCGGCCGATTAATCTTTCGGACGAAAAATCGGCTGATTTTCTAACAGTCTATGGCCAGTAACTAGACCGATCATTACTCTCTGTGTCTATGGTCGCAGGCAGCAGGGCTCGGAAGCGAGCCAGCATGAGTGCCCCCAAAAGGAAGCTGGATTTCTATGTGGGCACGCGTTGGAGAGGAGGAGCCAGGAGTGCCAGCGGGAAGAGAAGAGGAGGTTCGAGAGAGCCCTGTGCAATTCTATTGACAAGAGCAAGTAAATATAAACCTGTTTTTAATTTTTGCATTTAGAATCACTAATCACTAGGATAAGTTCACCTTTTGGAACATGTTACACCTGTTTTTTACTGTGGAACATGTAACATGTTCCCATAGCTGCAGCCGTGCCCTTAGCGGCTGTGGGTTTGTAGTTCTCAAATGAACTACCATGGCTCTGTGGAGCACTGTGGTAGTTCATTGAAGCTTCTTTTCAGTATACCGATTGCTCGTACATCCCGTAAAGCTTTGTACGGCAAGCAGATATTCTGACAGGTCTGCAGGAGACCTGCATGGCACCAGCGATGCTACTGATCGCTGGTGAAATGGCTTTACAGGCTCCTTTGGACAAAAATAATAAATGCACACTTTTTTTTACATGCATTTATTAATTTTGTCCAAAAACTGAACTTATCCTTTAATCTCCACACTTATTTCAAGTGGACAGCACTGAAGGCAAACAGTCAGAATGGCAACCATGAAACTAGTATTTTTTCTGAAGGATATCAGCAAGCATATTTCTCGCATCACAAACGACGTTTAATAAATCAGCTTATTTTATACCAAACATACAAAATACAGAAAGGGAAAAAAAAAAATAACAAAAGTAGGCTTTGCTTTGGCATTTGCATGTAAGGATCAATGGCTGGCATTTTTCTGATCTTCCCTATTTTTTTCTCCAATTATCTAGAAAAAGCTCTTGTACTCACAGAAATTTTATGATTGCGCATCATATTATCAAATTCCTCGTTAATTTTTTTGTACTTTTCCTCGGTGTGGGGGGTGAGGACGTACGAGCTGTCGGGGTCCGGGCTGTCGCAGCCTCTGTGTTCCTTCTTGTTCAGAGCCTAAACAGTGAAGTCAATAAAAAGGATCAACACATACAAATAAGGGAAGGGGGTGAACAATACTTACAGGATCTCGCTTGAAAACAAAATCATTATCTTCATTTAGTTTGCTGAATGTGTCCTCCTCAAAGTATCTCTCAGCATCTGGACTTTCACAACCATCTAAGCCTTTCTTTTTGAGAGTCTGAAACACAATTGGAAAATTCACACGCATACTGCACTAACTGGGAATGAAGAATCTAGGTCTTAGTGGGTGCTCCCCTTTAAGCTGACCCTTCATGAGAGATACGTGGAGGCTTCATCGCTTACCTTCTTCTAAAATGGTAATTCATTGGCTTTTATGCTGACGCTCTTACTTTCAGAGGTCTATAACCGAAACATATGCAGATATTGAAAGTCAGAGGTCCTGATCTGCATGCTTGTCCCGGGACAATGACTCATAGTAAGAGGTTAGCATGGCATCCAAGGACAGTTCTGAAATGAAAGCCTCCATGTTCCTCTCATGACAGGTCACCTTTAAAAAGGACACCTACAGACATAATTGTAATTTGATTTGGATAGATGCTTAGAATATATAAAAAATAAGTAAAAATGACTTTTAGCTCCTCTGCCCATGCTGCAGTGCCTTGCACAACTCTAATGCATCATAGTATACAACAGGAAAAATAGCCCCAAGATGTCCCAAATAGTAAATAATGCTGTGAAAAATCTTGATAACTTGATGCTTCAAACACCTGAATGTTCCGCAAGCTTGAGTATAAAGGACTCCTACAGCCCCTGATGATGTCAGATGTGACGAAACATGTAGGGTGGAGCTAATGCTCATGACATCAACACACACACTACAATGATGAAGTGACTAGTTTGAGTCCCAGGACCGGAACTCTATTATTATATTATTATAATTATTATTATTATACAGTATTTATATAGCACCAAAAGGTTTGCTCAGCGCTGTACATTATAGTGGGGGACAGAACATGAGACAATACAGTAACAAAACAATACACGAGAGGTTCGAGAGCCCTGCTCTTTCGAGCTTACAATCTAGGAGGGAGGGGATAGTGGTACAGGAGGAAGTGGCTGTGGGGGATGGAGTGGTAGGAGGAGTGGAGGAGATCGGCTGTTAGATGAGGGTGGGGTAGGCTTCCCTGAAGAGATGGGTTTTCAGGGCGCTCTACAGTGATAAACACTATGTTTTAACTATGTGAGTGGTTAGTGCTTTTTAAATAAACTCTCCTATATTGTATATTTTGTATATATATATATATATATATATATATATATATATATATATTTTATTTTGGTGTTCCTGGCTTTCTTTGTATGTTATTGGTGGGGATAGCCTTGATATGTGGATGAGGCGTTCTTGCAACCATAAGTGGAGAGCTGGAAACGTGTCATGCTGCCCAACAGAGAATACACTGATACCCAAGCATATGTGACTCCATGTACAAAGAGTCCACTTGCTCTAGTAAGAGTTCTTTAAACCCAAGGTGGTGGGACACTCAAGTGTTTGGAGCATCAAGTTATCAAGATTTTTCACAGTATTACTTGCTATTTGGAACTAGATTTCACATCTTTGGGACTATTTTTCCTATTACTTGTATACTAGGATTTGCACTTAATTATTTGTTATTAGCTTGGTATTTTAGCTTCACATTTGGTACACAATTTATCTAATTATATTGCCAGATGCTGTTTGTGTCTCTTAGCATGATTTTTTATAATTTTTAGTTGTAATGCATCAAAGCTCAGGGTCTTGTGACCCAGACTTGCAGCACATAGCAGTGTTCCTATTTCATGCACACAACATTTTTATGAGGTGCAGCCATGGGTGCAGATGATCATCCTGCAGTAACAGACACAAGCAGTCAATGACTGACTAGACACACGCCTATTAACAGTCTGTAGGAACATCAGTTTATAGGGTGCCCATGAGTGTTAGTACTGCAGTCAATCAGGGTGATTTATCAAGTTACCAACAGAATCAAGCACATATCTAGAGCAATCCAACTGCCACTCATTCAGGAAAGTTGCAATAGAATTTCTTGGTATTTAAGCCCCCTGCAATTCTGAGCAATCAGCTGAGATTGGATTTGAGACCAAGTTATACAAAGATTGGAGACATATTACACACAAAAAAACACTCATTAAATGTAAAGTCTAACCAAGCCAGGTTTTTTTTTTTTTTGGGTAACAGTTGGAATCTCTGCCCTATTTCTATGCTGTCTTTTTCTTCATGGGGAGGTTTCTTCTCCTCTCCAGCAGAAATAAAATCCTGGCAGAAGTTCTAAAGCTGGCCATAGATGAATCAAGTCTCGGACGGTTCAGCAGGGACCAAGATTTGATCCATCTACTGACACGCTGGTTGTACCCCAGGTCAATCCATAGATCGACATGGGTACAAGGAGCCTGTCAGATTTTTTACATGCGATCACTGCCAGCAGCTATAACAGCTAGCAATAATCATTGTGTTCTGCCAGCAGCAAACCTTCCCAGGGAAGGAAAATGAGGCTAAAGTCAAAATTTTTAGTTGCCACCAGAAAAGGAATAGTGGGGGAGTCCTTCAATGGGAGCTCTTGTTGCTGTGACCACTGTCTAAAGCCGGCCATAGATGGATCAGATCTTGGACGGTTCAGCAGGGACCGGCCGAGATTCGATCCATCTATGGGCAGGCTGGTTATAATGAAGTCAATCCCTACTGGCAGAACACAATAGCATTACAGAAGGGATTCCCTTGTCAACACTGGGTGTGTGATGGGGAATCAGTGGTCTTCTTTCCATCCACCTGTGGTGGAAGGAAAGAAAATCGCATAATCTATGGCCTGCTTAACTCTTACCTACTCTAAAGCTACGTTTACACTAGCGTTGTGTGCAGGCGGCAGAGAGGCATTTGGGAAGCGTTTTTACCGCTTCCCAAGCGCCTCTGCCAATTCTGCACATTACAGCACATGGTGCTGTTCTAACGGGAGCGTTTGCGCCGCAGCAAAACGGACGCCTCTGGTTGAGTCAGGAGGCGTTGAAGCCTCCTATTCTAGTCTATGGTGCCGCTCCGCAAACACCCGGCGTTTGCAGTGCGGTTGCGGGGCGTTTGCGGAGCGGTACCACCACTCAAACTGCATTATAGCCGTTTGTAGGGCTTTTTTAATGCTCAGCAAATGCCTAGCAACCGCCGCTAAACCACGCATGCGGCGTTTGCGGAGCGTTAAAAAAGCCAATCTGTCACCTTGCTCATGTTTGTACTGCCTTGAGATCAGTACACACGATGAGAAAATCGGACGCAAAATACCGCTTTCAGAGGGATCATCCAATAATCTGATCGTTAAAACACAGCTTTTGGTTGGTCAAGCAAAATTATCTGAAAGGACAAGCAGAAAACATTTTTTCTTGTACGACAACAGAACGAACAATTTTCATTCAATCAGTACAGTATTCACCCGTAAAATAATCGAGTGACCAAGAACACGCATGCTCGGAAACAAAAGAAAACATATCATCACGCGAGTTGTGTTCTGTCTTATAAGAATTTTTACAACTTTAGTAATCTATTCGTTTTTGATAAGAGACTAGCATGCAAAAAAAATTAAAAATTAAAAATGGACGATCGGCTCAGTTGCCTGATTTCTCATTGTGTGTACGAGGCTTTATTATCAAGATTGATAAATGCCCCCCCCCCCCAAGTTTTCGATATGAAAGGATAAGGCAGGAGGCTGCAGCACAGGGAGGGGAACATATAACATTGACCAGCAGTTCAGTATCTTCTACAACTGCTCTAAACTGATTGAAAAAAGGGAAATATAGTTGCTTGCTATGGGCTACTATTATGCACATATCATTTTTTCATTTTGAGCTGGTATGGAAAGCTGGCCATACATAGGGAGGTTTGGCTGCACTTGAAAATATTATTTTACAAACCACCGCACAAAACTAGCTCTGGGTTGTCTCAGGCCTCATGCACACTGGATGTTATAAAAATGCCAGTAGCGTTAGAAAGTTGCAATAAAAACTTGAGGGTTTTTTTGCGTTTTCTTTAAACATTTTTGCATTAGCTTTTTTCAGTGTTTGCGGTTTTTACTCCCACAAAAATCTTCAGGTTCAAAAACGCTCATAACCGCCAGATAGCCGCGGGTTGTTTTAGCACTCTTCAGCTTTTATCAGAGTTAGAGCATTTTTTCAGCTGGAAAACTCTTCTTGAAATCCACTAGTTCTGGGCGGTTTGTTCCAGCCAAAAAAACGCTGATTACAGTCTGTGTGTGTATGGACACATAGGATAACATGCTGGGGGATTTACTGGCTGTAGAAAAAAAAAAAAAAAAAAAACCTTCAAAAGCCAAAAACAGCCGCTGTAAAATCATCCAGCGTACAAAAAACGCAAATGCGGGAAAAATGCCACTAAACGCAAAAAAACGCTAAAAAAAAGCCGAAAAACTCTGGTTTTTAACGTGACTTTACACAGCTAACATTACCAGCGTTATCAAAACGTCCCGTGTGCATGAGGACTGATGAGATATCGGGTGATGCCTGTGGCCCCACAGGAGAAACTCACTCTCTCTATTTTATCCTGGTGACCATTGTCAACAGGACTGAAAGTGAGGAAATTCAAAAATTCTGAGTTGCCACCTGACCAAGAAGAGAGAAAAAATCCTCCAATGTGGACACCTGTTTTGGTGAAAACGGTCTAGTTGGCCATACATGTAGCGATTTGATTAAATCAACTTCCTCCTATCAATTGTGAAGGGTATCCGTCATTTTAATTTTTTTTTAACTGAAAAGCTATTTTTTCCTTTCATTTATAGTTCGGCTCCCCACTTCCAGATTCCTTGCCTAGGCGATGTTGACGTACAATTGAGCACCAGCAGCTTTCTGGGATATTTACTTCAAACATCCTAGGAGGCTGCGCTTGCAATGTTTTGCTACTGTGTGTCTTTCAAAGCAAGAAATACATGGGTTGGACAAAAACATGGAAACACTGCATGATATGCAGGTGTGAAAGTGACAACGTGTTTC